AAAAACATGTCGTAGCCCCTGTCACATGCGTCGGTATTCAGATGCAACTCGAATCATTTCCCATCGTAGATAAGGACTGTAACTCATTCTGAAATGCTATCCCTTTGATCTACAAGGTGACAGTAGTTATTCCCCCTCTTTTTAATTCACCTCAGTTATGTTGTGAAAATCGCCATGGGCGTAGAAACGAAAGACGCGGTCCGTCGCGGGCGGCACTAACTGGAAGGGGGGTGGGGCGGCGTTTTCGCTTCCCTTCATATACTTTTAAAGCTATTGCGTGTGGGTGGGTGTGCATTCTGTAAGCATGTGGGTTTTCGTTAAAATCAAATAGGTGCACATCTCATATATTTAACTCACATATTTGTGTTTGTGAACGCATTGTATAAAACTTTGTTATGAGGGAACATTTCAATAGCATTGCACAAAGACAAAAATTTCAGGGTTTTTTGCCATTTTTTTTTTTTTTTTTTTTTTTTTACAAATCTAAAAAAAAGTTTTAAAAAAAGATTTTTGCCTTTTAAAATCATTTCATACTAACTGGAAGGGGGGTGGGGCGGCGTTTTCGCTTCCCTTCATATACTTTTAAAGCTATTGCGTGTGGGTGGGTGTGCATTCTGTAAGCATGTGGGTTTTCGTAAAATCAAATAGGTGCACATCTCATATATTTAACTTACCTATTTGTGTTTGTGAACGCCATGTATAAAACTTTGTTATGAGGGAACATTTTCATTGCATTTCAAAAAAACAAAAATTTCAGGGTTTTTTGCCATTTTTTTTTTTTTTTTTTTTTTTTTTTTTTTTTACAAATCTAAAAAAAAGTTTTAAAAAAAGATTGTTGCCTTTTAAAATCAGTTCAAGCTAGTAAAGATGGCTCATTTCTCTGGTGTCAGGTGCATACATAGTTATAAGCAACTTACGAAATCTGCAAGTAGTTTTCTGGTTGCAGTTGCAAGAGATTTACCAAACACAGAACGTGTTTCATTTGGTTACCTTCTAGCCTTTTATTCACATTCTTTACGGTTGAAAGGGAGTCTGATAACAGGGACGTTGAGGATATGTAAGAGGGCATGGAGATTTGGGAGAAAGAACTCTTCAAATTCTAGGAGAGCATGGAGATTTGGGAGAAAGAACTCATCACACTTTAGAAGAGCATGGAGATTTGGGAGAAAGAACTCATCACATTCTAGGAGAGCATGGAGATTTGGAAGAAAAAACTCATCACATTCTAGGAGAGCATGGAGATTTGGGAGAAAGAACTCATCACATTCTAGGAAAGCATGGAGATTTGGGAGAAAGAACTCTTCGCATTCTCTCACTCGTTTTCAAACACTTTTAAAATGTCACAACAAACTGATTTTAGAATAAATTATATTTTTTTTTAAAAAACATTTAATTATTTTTATTTATTTAATATTTCTTTTCCTTTGTAGTCAACCTCTAGAAAAATTGTCAAACTTCCACGCGAGGAAGGAATAAAAATACCCCTACAGCTTTTAAAATTCTATATAGTCAGAAAAGAATTGGTCACGCTAATGAACATTGAACAGACAAATAAAACGAACAAACAACAACAAAACCAAACCAAACCAAAGCAGAATCCAAATAAACTTGATACGGTACCATACCAAAAAAAATTGGTTACTATGAAATATGTTGATTTTAATGGCCATTTGTGAATTTCAAGATTCTGTAGAATTTAAGAGAATGAAAAAGTATATTTTCACTGAGATTTGAGGATACCCTTATGAGGAGACACGACTTTTGAGTTAATACCTCACCGACCACTATTTTAGATAAAATTTACGACAAAACCTCACCAACCCACTCACCGACCACTCACCGACCCACTCACCGATCCACTCACCGACCCACTCCCCGATCCACTCACCGACCCACTCACCGACCCACTCACCGACCCACTCACCGACCAACTCACCGAGCAACTCACTGACCACTCACCGACCCACTCACCGACCCACTAACCGACCCAATCGACGACCTTCTCACCGACCCACTCACCGACCAACTCGCCGAGCAACTCACCGACCAACTCACCGACCCACTCACCGACCCAATCACCGACCTTCTCACCGACCCACTCACCGACCAACTCACCGACCACTGTGTGAGATAAAAAAAAAAAACAGAATTACATTGCATTGCATTAATATTTCTGCTGATGTCAGCAGAAAACTTTATTATTATAATAATAATAATAATAATAATAATAATAATAATAATAAATATATATATATATATATATATATATATATATATATATATATATATAATATAATATAAACAAACAAAAAAACCCTTTCATTCCTGATGCGGTCCTCGAAAGTATGAATAGATTTACTACTCATCGAGGATTACATTTGTCTTATTACTCTCTATTACAGAATGATTAACTTAAATTGTGTGTCAATGACCTTGGGAGAGTTAAAAAAAAAAAGCCGAGTCTCTGTTCAAAATTACAACACACACTCAAGGCTTTGTTCAAAATTACAACTCAAATTCAAATCTCTGTTCAAAATTACAACACACACTCAAGGCTCTGTTCAAAATTACAACTCAAATTCAAATATCTGTTCAAAATTACAACACACACTCTAGTCTCTGTACAAAATTACAACAAACACTGAAGTCTCTGTTCAAAATTGCAACTCAACACAACTGTTTAACGAACTGTGAGTGCTTAGACTGTTGTTTAAAAAACTCTGAGTTATTAGACTTTTATTTCACTAAATATGACTGTTAACTGCCAAGTTGTATTTAACAAAATTGTCTTCGACCAATGACACCATCAATAACTACCATAGCAATTTTTTTTAAAAAATGAAATAATAACATTAAGCAAAGTTATGGATTTGCTAACATAATATCGTTACATCATAAAGCATGAATTTTTTTATCGCTGTCAGAGGACAAGAATGCACAAGTAGGTGCATAGGCGGAGACCGATGTTTTGGATCACGTTAGCTTTTGGTGGATGCATTTCATTGCCCATCCACCACCCCTGCAGTAGTTTTTGGTGGATGCATGTCATTGCCCATCCACCACCCCAGCGTTAGTTCTTGGTGGATGCATGCAATTGCCCATCCACCACCCCAGCAGTAGTTTTTGGTTAGATGCATGTCATTGCCCATCCACCACCCCAGCGTTAGTTCTTGGTGGATGCATGCCATTGCTCAACCCAGCTTTTGTTCTTGGTGGATGCATGTCATTGCCCATCCACCACCCACAGCATTAGTTCTTGGTGGATGCATTTCAGTGCCCATCCACCACCCCTGCAGTAGTTTTTGGTGGATGCATGTCATTGCCCATCCACCACCCCAGCGGTAGTTCTTGGTTAGATGCATGTCATTGCCCATCCACCACCCCAGCGTTAGTTCTTGGTGGATGCATGCCATTGCCCACCCCAGCTTTTGTTCTTGGTGGATGCATGTCATTGCCCATCCACCACCCACAGCATTAGTTCTTGGTGGATGTATTTCATTGCCCATCCACCACCCCAGCAGTAGTTTTTGGTTAGATGCATGTTATTGCCCATCCACCACCCCAGCGTTAGTTCTTGGTGGATGCATGCCATTGCCCACCCCAGCTTTTGTTCTTGGTGGATGCATGTCATTGCCAATCCACCCCACCAGCATTAGTTCTTGGTGGATGCATGTCATTGCCCATCCACCACCCCAGCAGTAGTTTTTTGGTTAGATGCATGTCATTGCCCATCCACCACCCCAGCAGTAGTTTTTTGGTTAGATGCATGTCATTGCCCATCCACTACCCAAGCGTTAGTTCTTGAAGGATGCAAGTCATTGCCTCGTCCACCCCCCCCCCTCCTCAGCGTTAATTTAAATGTTCAGGATGCGCCCTTTGATTCGTGCTAACGAGTCCCAGTAACGTCACCCCTGAAGGACTACATTACTGAGCAGAAGCGACGTTATCAAACGGTGAAGATGTTTTCAAAGTAGCATTTGTAGTCGGTGACTCAGTAGCACTTGTAGTTTGGTATCTAGGTAGCACTTGTAGATAATTTATGATAGATCATGAACAAGGGCGGCCGTAGGTATATAACAGAGAAATGTTTTAAGACCACCGTCTCTCTTGCTGAAGGTGCGTCGTCCTGTGTCACGGAGTTGGTAACTTACTGTAGAGCGTGTTGCTGGTGAGATGTGCTAGTCTGTTTAAATTGTCAACTGTTCTTAATGAACTGATGCGCTGATGAAAGGTTTTGATTTGATAAATTATCGTTTAATTTCTTGATATAAATTTTTGCTTACAGATATTTATAACCAATAGCCACTGTTACCTATGTATAGCCACTATCACCTATGTATAGCCACTATTACCTAAGTATAGCCTCTATTACCTGTGTATAGCTACTATTACTTATGTATAGCCACTATTATCTATGTATAGCCTCTATTCCCTTTCTATTGCCTCTATACCTATATATAGCCACTATTACCTATGTATAGCCAATAGCCACTATTAATTAATAGCCACTATTACCTATGATAGCCACTGTTACCTATGTATAGCCATTATTACCTATGTATAGCCACTATTACCTATGTATAGCCACTATTACCTATGTATAGCCACTGTTACCTATGTATGGCCCCTATTACCTATGTATAGCCACTATTACCTAGCAATTATTACCGATATATAGCCACTATTACCGATGTATATCCACTATTACCTATGTAGAGCCACTATTATCTATTTAGTGCCATTATTATCTATTAAGAGCCACTATTACCTATGTATAGCCAATATTACTCATTATTATTCATTAATCCTAATCATTAGCCCTCCTTACCAACATATTTGATTCCATGTTTTATCTGAAAAGATTAACTTGTTTCCCACTATTACTTAAAAATTTTCAATTTTTACGAACGATTATTTTCCACCATCGGTAACTAGTGTCCAATCTCTACTATCTTGTTTCACACTAAAATTTCTCTCTCTCCCTCTCTCTTTCAGTAAATCGCCGCCATGTCTGCCCCCATCCCTAAAGAGAAGCGACTCCCCAGTGTTTTTCTGGGTCAGTCCGGGCTGAAAGTCTCCAACATCTGTCTGGGGACTATGACTTTCGGCGAGTCGGCTGTGAGTACATAAGATGTGCAGTGACGTAATTATCTGACCCTCATTTTAAATTATTATCAGGATGAAACTGTCCCTCCTAACTCACACGAAGTCTAGATTTTAATACATGTTTACAAATTGCAATACTTCAGATGTAGTCAAGACATTACATGCATAGAATACATGCACAGAAACACAAATACAGAAATGATACCCGGCATATAACTGGAATTTTTTGCAAGTTCTGTTTGTGACCTGAAATTGGGCTAGGATAGTTGTAGCAGTTCTGTGTGAGACCAGAAACTCGGCTATGATAGTTGTAGCAGTTCTGTGTGTGACCAGAAACTCGGCTAAGATAGGTGTAGCAGTTCTGTGTGTGACCAGAAATTGGGCTAGGATAGTTGTAGCAGTTCTGTGTGTGACCAGAAATTGGGCTAGGATAGTTGTAGCAGTTCTGAGTGTGACTAGAAATTGGGCTAGGATAGTCGTAGCAGTTCTGTGTGTGACCTGAAATTGGGCTAGGATAGTTGTAGCAGTTCTGTGTGTGACCAGAAATTGGGCTAGGATAGTTGTAGCAGTTCTGTGTGTGACCAGAAATTGGGCTAGGATAGTTGTAGCAGTTCTGTGTGTGACCAGAAATTGGGCTAGGATAGTTGTAGCAGTTCTGTGTGTGTCTAGAAATTGGGCTAGGATAGTTGTAGCAGTTCTGTGTGTGACCAGAAATTGGGCTAGGATAGTTGTAGCAGTTCTGTGTGTGTCTAGAAATTGGGCTAGGATAGTTGTAGCAGTTCTGTGTGTGTCTAGAAATTGGGCTAGGATAGTTGTAGCAGTTCTGTGTGTGACCAGAAATTGGGCTAGGATAGTTGTAGCAGTTCTTTGTGTGACTAGAAATTGGGCTAGGATAGTTGTAGCAGTTCTGTGTGTGACTAGAAATTGGGCTAGGATAGTTGTAGCAGTTCTGTGTGTGACTAGAAATTGGGTTAGGATAGTTGTAGCAGTTCTTTGTGTGACTAGAAATTGGGTTAGGATAGTTGTAGCAGTTCTGTGTGTGACTAGAAATTGGGTTAGGATAGTTGTAGCAGTTCTGTGTGTGACTAGAAATTGGGTTAGGATAGTTGTAGCAGTTCTTTGTGTGACTAGAAATTGGGTTAGGATAGTTGTAGCAGTTCTGTGTGTGACTAGAAATTGGGTTAGGATAGTTGTAGCAGTTCTGTGTGTGACTAGAAATTGGGTTAGGATAGTTGTAGCAGTTCTTTGTGTGACTAGAAATTGGGTTAGGATAGTGGTAGCAGTTCTGTGTGTGACCAGAAATTGGGTTAGGATAGTTGTAGTAGTTCTGTGTGTGACCAGAAATTGGGCTAGGATAGTTGTAGCAGTTCTGTGTGTGACTAGAAATTGGGTTAGGATAGTTGTAGCAGTTCTTTGTGTGACTAGAAATTGGGTTAGGATAGTTGTAGCAGTTCTGTGTGTGACTAGAAATTGGGTTAGGATAGTTGTAGCAGTTCTGTGTGTGACTAGAAATTGGGTTAGGATAGTTGTAGCAGTTCTTTGTGTGACTAGAAATTGGGTTAGGATAGTTGTAGCAGTTCTGTGTGTGACCAGAAATTGGGTTAGGATAGTTGTAGCAGTTCTGTGTGTGACCAGAAATTGTGTTAGGATAGCTCACTTTACGCATCTCACCACCTACTTCCGTGTTGGTTTATCACAAATATCAGTTTTCCAAACGGTCTAAATTCTGGTTCTCTGATTCTGGTAGGGTGCGTAGCTGCATCCATGTACTGGCAAAAGTGCAACGGTTTTGGGGAAGTGATGCGGCTATCCTAACGGCTCCTAGCGGGTGCCAGGGCAGCCTTGAAACTCCCGATTGATGTCGAGTCCACGGCGGCATTGTCCAGTTGGTTTCAATCGATTATTTCACTGAATCAAAAACATGCTTGAGGGCTGGATTTCAATCTCCAGCAAAAGTCTAAACAAGCAAAAACATGAACACCGTCCCCCTCACCCCGGGTGGATGTGACTTTTTTTACCTTGGATGGCAACTGATACCAAGAGAGGGAAAGCATCAAAATGAAACCGGGAGATGGAGCCTCGCAGGCGGTATGACATTGACACAAGAAAATTCCGACAACTCCTGCGACGTGGAGCGAGTGAAGAGCACAGTGAGGCACAAGATAACCCTGCTGGTCATCTGCTGCACCCTGATGTAACCAGTTGTCTTAACTAAATCTTACCATTTGGAACCACTAGGCAAGGACGAGAGAGTGAGGCTGACGGATTGAGCGACTCAACCTTCACTTTAAAACAAAATACAGCTCGAGTCAGGGCTACTACTGAAGTCCAAGTGTTGGTCATCTTGGCATGCAAAGGACTGATAATAATTTAAAAAATAATTGAGTTCATCGTCTACTTATAGGGAGGGGGGGGAGGGGGCTTTAAATTTATTTGCATTAAGAAACATAAAATATTTTTAAAGGTACTCTCAAATTAAGATAACTGTATATCAATCATCACCCAGTCCCCTAGCCAGCTGTAGAATGTGTATTTCCAGACGGGAACCCCTGGCCACTGTGACGAGGAACAGTCTCATCAAATCATCAACCGCTTCGTCGAGTGGGGCGGCAACTTCTTTGACACGGCCAACGTCTACGGACGCGGGAAGTCAGAAACTATTCTTGGGAACTGGCTCCAACAGTAATGCATTTATATCTAGCTTTCTGTTTGTCTGTCTGTTTAAATCAGTCGCTAATCATATCAACTTGTATATCCATTTATGAACATGTCCATCAACCCATCGCCCCTTCTATCTATCTATCTATCTATCTATCTATCTATCTATCTATCTATCTATCTATCTATCTATCTATCTATCTATCTATCTATCTATCTATCTATCTATCTATCTATCTATCTATCTATCTATCTATCTATCTATCTATCTATCTATCTATCTATCTATCTATCTATCTATCTATCTATCTATCTAGCTATCTAGCTATCTAGCTATCTAGCTATCTATCTATCTAGCTATCTATCTATCTAGCTATCTATCTATCTAGCTATCTAGCTATCTATCTAACTATCTATCTATCTATCTATCTATCTATCTATCTATCTATCTATCTATCTATCTATCTATCTATCTACCTATCTACCTATCTACCTATCTACCTACCTACCTATCTATCTACCTACCTATCTACCTATCTACCTACCTACCTATCTACCTACCTACCTATCTACCTACCTACCTATCTACCTACCTACCTATCTACCTATCTACCGACCTACCTACCTACCTACCTACCTACCTACCTACCTACCTACCTACCTACCTACCTACCTACCTACCTATCTACCTACCTACCTATCTACCTACCTACCTACCTATCTACCTACCTACCTATCTACCTATCTACCTATCTACCTATCTACCTATCTACCTATCATCTATCTATCTATCTATCTATCTATCTATCTATCTATCTATCTATCTATCTATCTATCTATCTATCTATCTATCTATCTATCTATCTATCTATCTATCTATCTATCTATCTATCTATCTATCTATCTATCTATCTATCTATCTATCTATCTATCTAGCTATCTATCTATCTATCTATCTGTCTGTCTGTCTGTCTGTCTGTCTAATATCTATCTCACCTTATTTTGCCTCTCCCTCTCTCAGTCTCTCTTAATTTATCTTTCTCGCCCTCTCTCACTGTCAGGTTATCTCTCTCAATTTTTATTGATGTCACTCTCTTTCCTCTCTCTCTCCTTCTCTCGACCCCTTCTCTCTCTCTCTCTTTCTCTGTCTCTTTCTCTCTCTCTCTGTCTCCTTATCTCTTTCCCCCTCCTCTATCTATGTAGTTTCTCACTCTAAACTCTCTCTAAATTTCTCTTTCTCTCTCAAATCCTGATAGTATTTTTTGGTTGAAGCTTACCGGACATCAAAACTTAACTCTCTTCCTGTCTAGTCAACCACGTGACAACTACGTCATCGCCACGAAAGTTCGCGGGAACATGGGCGTGGAGAGCGATCCCAACAATGTCGGCCTCAGCAGACGTCACATCACAGCGAGTATCGATTCCAGCTTGGATCGGCTCAAAACGAACTACGTGGATCTTTATCAGGTGATAAGTACGATACTTGTCTGTGATGAGAAGAATAGTGTACAAGTCATTGCATTGTTTTAAGCTTAAGGTAGGTCACTGTTAAGCCTGCACAGCTCAATGCCAGTCTGAGTCTCGTCCAAACAAAATATTTTCATTATCTTCTTATTTTTGTATATGTTTAGAGACAGTGGTGTCGCTAGGGTGGGTGTCACCCGGTGCGGTAAACTCATGGTCTCACATCCCCATCCCTCAAACTAACTGCCACGATGGATTTGTTCTTGTTAAAATCAGTACATAGTATAACAATGACACGAAGAAAAACAAGTTAATTAAAGGTCAGGAGGTCAATGTATTTGAGAACTGTAACATGTACTTAAAATCACCCAATGCTAGTTCAGCCCAATGGAGCATAGGCCATCCAAAATACTTTACCATCTGACCCTGTCCTGGGCTATATTTGCTAGTTCAGCCCAACGTTTCTACATTCTCTTCACCTCTGTCTCTACTCCCCTCTCCCGTGCGGCTCTAGGTCTGCCTCTTTTCCTGGTACCTTGAGAATTCCAATGCAGGGCCTGCCTTGGGATGTTGGTGTTTGCTTTCCATAATGTGTGTCATAAAATATAAATCTGAAATATAAATATTTTTAATGCATATAAAGAATTTATACACAAAAAAAAAAACTTTGTTTTGATCGGGTTGTCTAATTTCTTGTGATAGGCCCACGCTTTTGATGACGCCACAAGGTTGGAGGAAACTTTACGTACTCTCGACGACTTGGTCCGTGTTGGGAAAGTTCGCTATGTCGGTGTCAGCAACTTCTCCGGATGGCAGTTGCAGAAGCTGGTGGACACTTCAGAGAAGTTGGGGCTCAATCCCATCGTTAGTTTACAGGTAATAGCGTCTACCAGTTTTTCATTTAGCATTGTTACTGATTATCATTTCATTTATTTTTATTTTTTCATCGCAAAAAAAGTTATAAATAAAATGTGAACCTGAGCCATGTTTCGATACTAAAGAGAAAATTGACGATTGATGGCAAATTTCCTTATGGGGTACGTCGAAATTTGTGTAAAACAGAGTAGCTTTCCCGTGTTTGACCCCCCACTTTTACCAATTTGGATTGGTTCCAAAATCATGTTTGTTATTTCTAAACTCGATTCCAGTAAGTTAAGTAGGGTTAATTAAAACATACTCTCAATTCACGGTGACTTCATCCGATCCATGTTTACTCAGCCAAACCATGACAACCACGAATGACATGAAAGCGGAAATGATATGCACCAAACCATTATGCTCTTTTCTCTCCAGAAAAAAAAAATCTTTCTTGTTCGTACCCCATAGAATAGATCTATATCTTCATAAATTTATAGACACGAGGTGGTGTATGATTTGTTGAATTTTATTTTTCAGTTATAAAATGTATATGATCATTAACAGCTACACAATAATTCAACAATAAAAACCTGGTCAAAATAAGGTCTTCCCCAAGAACTTAAGAACGATCTGACGAGTTATGAAATGTCTATCACCCCATTATTTTGATAACATAAAGTGAGGACGGAGTGCGTCAAAGCCGTTTAAAATAAATGAAAAAAGATAAGAAAAAAAAAAGATAAGGAAAAAAAAAAAACAGAACACTTATGAAGACGTTTCGACTAAATGCCTTCTTTGGCATGATCCGGGGAAACTTAAGTTTTTTTCAAGTTTCAGTTATAATTTGTTGGTTTGTTTGTTTTTTGTTTTTGTTTGTTTTTTTTCTGCTTTTTTTTTTTTTTTGGTTTGATGAATAAGGCAGTAAGTCGAAACGTCCTTGAAATTGTTGTGTCCTCTTTTTCAAGCCTAAACATTCCACTATTTATTCCAATCATACGGATGACAGCTCTGACATAAGTAAAAATTTTACATTGGAAATAATGCTGAACAAATATTTGAATACACGTTTAAAAAAAACTCACGAGTAGATCCCATAATTCATATTGGATACAAGCCTTTAAGGATTCTTGATTACACTGGACTATTCGTGCGATTATGTACAAAGGTAAAATTGCTATTGTTTCGATTATAGCTACACGTTTACATAGAGCTTACATTTATCATTAACATTCATGGTAATATGGCGGTGCTTATGTTTTATCTCCACTCAGCAACAATACAATCTGACTTGCAGAGAATCTGAATTCGAACCTTTCAGAGTATGCAAGACGGCTGGTATAGGAGTTCTGCCCTGGAGCCCACTAAAGGGGTAAGCTTAAAGCATCCATTTTACTTTAGCTGAAATGTATTTAAAAGTTACACTATGTGTACAATAATATGTGCGATGTGTTTATTGTGTTTAAACATATCTGGGTTTTGGCTGGGAATTAACTCAAACGATTCAATTCCAGTAAAGAAATGAAATGGTTATTACCGAAATGATATGGTTGTTAGCTAAACAAGAGGTCCCAGGACACTACTGATTTGACAAGGGCTACGCTTGAATACTTCCAGCGGTCTCCTGACCGGAAAGGTCAAGAGAGGCGTGGACCCCACGGAAGGCCGCATCGGTTGGGCGGCTAAAAATGCCGATACGAACACCCAGGCCCGCCGGAGGGTGTCCAGTTTAACAGACAAGACATTTGTCGTCATTGAGGCGGCCGAGGCAATCGGTAAAAATAATGGTAAGCGTCTGCCTGTCATAATGCTGTAACGTCACGGTAATTGGGGGATAGTTTGAGAATCTCGGGGAAGACGAGACTTGGAGCGCGAGGAGAGAGAAGGCATTGTGCATTGGTGAAAGATTTTAAATGAAGGATAGAGTATTTTTTATAAACATTCTTATATATTGAAGGAGTCGGCATTGGATATCATATTGTTTGATGTCTTTACTCTAAGTACGACAATTAAAAGTGTGGTGTAGCAGCGGGGCTTCATGTTTTTCATTGTGGGGGTGAGGAACAAGAGCGTGACGAAGGGGGGGGGGTGGGCTCAAAATATTAAAGTAGTATTTGAGAAATAACACAGTGATAAGACAGTAATTAAAATAGTACAATGTGTGCACCAAGAAAACAATGCTTTACGAATGTCTACTTAAAAACAATTTTTTTTTTAAAACATTATTTCTGAAACTTTGTTATCCCCAGGTCACAGCGTGGCGCAGGTCGCCCTCAGGTGGCTGCTACAGAAGGACGTCGTGTCGTCTGTCATCATAGGGGCGAGAACTCTGGCACAGCTGGACGACAACCTGGTAGCGGGCGGTGGTTGGTCCTTGACAAGAGAAGAGGTAAAATGTCACGCCCTGCTGGAATAAGCCAGAAGAGTTTGGTCTATGTCATCCTTTATAGACAGGAATATCTATTTAATGAACTTATACATTTTTTTTAAAAAAATATTCTACCACTTCCCCATATATATATAGAAATTGGGATATTTAATTAATTGAGCTCTGAATATATCAGATGCGTCAAAATGTTAAGGGAGGGAACTAATGATTTTATGCGAAATCAATTATAGTGTGATTATTTCCCTTGATATTTGAGGTAGCTCTGCTTGACAAATTTGGCGATTCAAGGCCTAACTAAACCATACTGTATTATCATTCATAGACCGATTGATGAATTTTTGTAAATAATTCAATCCAGTACACATTCATCATCCATTCAGTACCGATATCACATCAGACATTCCCTCAGTATTACTATCAATATCAGGCATCCCTTCAGTACTGATATCAATATCAGTAATGATTGTATTTGGGACCGTTCATTTACGTGATTGTATTTGTGACCGTTCATTTACGTGATTGTATGTGTGACCGTTCATTTACGTGATTGCAATGATGACCTTTTATCTACGTGATGGTAATTGTGACCATTCATTTATACTCGATTATAATTTTTACCGTTGACGTAAACGTGATTGCTGTTGTGACCTTTCATCTGCGTGATTGTAATTGTGACCGCTAAACAATATTAATCTCTCTTTTCCCCTCGAAGATCCTCAAACCGTCGCTGTCCAACCCTGCCAGCAGGCTCGCTCCTATCTTTACTTCTGTTTGTGTCCTCAGATGAAGCAGTTGGATGACCTGTCTGCACCTAGCATCCCCTACCCTTACGACACTTTGGTCCAGAGGAACGTGGACAGAAAGAACCGACATGCCGTCAGCCAATACGTTGGCAATCTGGACGAATGATCAATGTCCATTCATCTTGAAGTGGGGTCGTTCTTTTTTTTTATTTTTAAATATATTTCAGAATGCATGCAAGTCGTTTTAACGCACCAGCAATAGCATAACATAACATCACATAACATAACATAACATAACATCACATCACATAACATAACATCACATCACATAACATAACATAACATCACATAACATAACATAACATAACATCACATAACATAACATAACATCACATAACATAACATAACATAACATAACATAGCATCACATAACATAACATAGCATCGCATAACATAACATAGCATCACATAACATAACATAACATAACATAACACAACATAACATAACATAACACAACATAACATAACATAACACAACATAACATAACATAACACAACATAACACAACACAACACAACATAACATAACATAACACAACATAACATAACACAACACCACATAACATAACATAACATAACATAACACAACATAACATAACATAACATAGCATCACATAACACAACATAGGGTGGTATGCGAAAGTATAGATAAGACAAGCATTTTACCTAAATACTTAGAATGCATGCAACTAAGACTGTAATTACACTTAGACTGTATTACACTTAGACTCTATTACACTTAGATTGTATTACACTTAAATTGTGTTACACTTTGACTGTGTTACACTCAGACTGTATTACTGTATTACACTTAGACTGTATTACACTGTGAATGTATTACACTTTGAATGTTTTACACTTAGAATGTATTACACTTAGAATGTATTACACTTAGTATGTATTACACTTAGAATGTATTACATGTGTTTTTTAATGTTGTTATTTAAATCACTTCCGCCAAGACGCTCTGAGCTATGTTCTGACTTTGATCTCTTTAATTTCGTTTTTTTTTTGTTTTTTTTTTGTGGTGTTTTTTATTGTTTATTTATAGTTGTGTTTGGTGTTGAAGGCGTTCAACCGTGGTCGTGTGCCTTTATTCGTGTTGTCTTCAAATTGACTTAATGGGTTTCACTTTTTTTTTTGTTTTTATTCTTTAATTCCAGCAGTCTACTTACTGTTACGTCATACTAACCCAATTTCATTCCTTAAAACCTCAAGCAGCGAACATGTGTTTATTTACCAGCGAAGCATTACTTTGGAATAATTCGAAACTTTTCAAAAGGAGCCTAACCTTATAAAAAAACTGAATGGGCAACTGCCTTTGTAGCTGCGTGGGATAATGCGTGGGGAAACTGCTTGGACAATTAAAGGCAATTGGCCGGGAATCAAGAAGGCAAAAATCTATTTTATGTCAATTTGATTTCTTCCACCTCTGCTAGTTAATACCTCGGTGGACGTCCCACTAACCAAAGAATAAAGATTGTGTTATATTTGGTGCAGGGAGTTTTACTCAATAATCAATCAGAGAATTTGATCAAGACTTGAATTTATTCCTTATCGAACTCTTTATTTAGCTCACTTAAACCATTATTTAACAAAATTAATTGCTTGTATGTAAATGAAATATTTTACAATAGAACACCACGTGACACAGTTGTAATTCTTTGTTGACACATATAAAGTAAGTCACACACACACAGTTATGTAAATTTTAAAAACTGTATGCATTTACAGTGTACATTTAGTTAGTAATGTTTGTTCGATGTTATGGGAATTTCATAAAAACACAAAAAGCTCAAATTTTATATATCACAGTTGACGCTATTGACGACACCAATGGTTCTGCAATAGTCACATCCCAATACATAACAACTCACAGACACACGGAATGATATCTTTATTGAAACAATGACATCTATCAATATGTGTATAGAGATATGGATGCTCTTTTTTTCTGCAGACGGCCAAGAGCATTTGGGGATGGTGTACCGAAGAGATCGTGCGTACAAAATGATTGGGCGTAAACGTGCTCAGATGGGCAGGTTGTCTGGATTGACGGTGTCTTCAATCTGATTTTATATACAAAATGACATGGTCTACAGTGTGTTCAAAGTAACATGGTGTACGTAGGGACGGTGCCTGTGATGTGACAGGGTGTCCGAAGTGACATGATGTTATAAGCAAAATTGTGCATGAAGTAACAGGGTTTAAGAAGTGACAGGGTTTAAGAAGTGACAGGGTTTAAGAAGTGACAGGGTTTAAGAAGTGACATGGTTTAAGAAGTGACAGGGTTTAAGAAGTGACATGGTTTAAGAAGTGACAGGGTTTAAGAAGTGACAGGGTTTAAGAAGTGACAGGGTTTAAGAAGTGACAGGGTTTAAGAAGTGACAGGGTTTAAGAAGTGACAGGGTTTAAGAAGTGACAGGGTTTAAGAAGTGACATGGTTTAAGAAGTAACAGGGTTTAAGAAGTGACAGGGTTTAAGAAGTGACATGGTTTAAGAAGTGACAGGGTTTAAGAAGTGACAGGGTTTAAGAAGTGACAGGGTTTAAGAAGGGACAGGGTTTAAGAAGTGACAGGGTTTAAGAAGTGACAGGGTTTAAGAAGTGACATGGTTTAAGAAGTGACAGGGTTTAAGAAGTGACAGGGTTTAAGAAGTGACAGAGTTTAAGAAGTGACATGGCTCACGAAGTGACTGGGTTTTTTTAAGTGGCATGACGCATGAAATAACAGGGTTGATGAAATGAAAGGGTTGATGAAGTCATCGGGTGGCCATGCGAAAATAAAGCCAAAACAACAGAGCTGGTTGAACACATGTCATTTGGGCATTGTTTGGGCATGTTGATGTAAATGTACATGACACTTTAAAACTGTCAATAAAGAGTTTAAAGAAAAAAAAGAGAGGAGTCTTAAAATAATAGTTGTCTATAAACTTTACAATACCCTTTTTTTTTTTTTTTTTTAATGGCGTAGCGTTGCACGTATGACGGCGATACCGGCGCCAGGGAGTTGCGAACGGGGCGACCGCCTAAGGTCATGTGCTTTTAGGAACCTCTCGAGTGGCCCTTATAATATTAAAAATAGTTAATCAATATAGCGAGGCCGTTGCCCTAGTGTATAATGTTAAGTCAAAACGACATTAGGGCGGACAAGGTAATACGTCACATTGGTATCGGTGGGCTGTCGAGTTACACGAGCTCTTAATGCCCCTCGGCACACCTCCCCATGGGCCAGGCGCCAGGTCTTCCTGCCACCAGACCGTGTGGAGACACCCAGGAAACCTCCCCCCCCCCCATGGCCTGGAGAACGCCTGGTCGACCGAAAACGCTGCGTTTAAACCGTTCGCGTTCCACTCTCCCTAAGGATCTGGTTTGGTTTACTTCAAATTCCTGAGAGTCTTTCAGTCGGGACGTAAAGCCGGGACGAAGTTATCATGTTACGACATTACTACTCCCTTTGGCGGCCGGGGTTATTTGCTTCAGAAGAACAGTACCCCCACCCCCTACTAGTCCGCCACGCCACGAAGAGGCAAACCCCATGGGGACGCCCCAAAGTTTCCTCGAAGGCGCTCCCGCATGCGCAGGACGGGGACAAGGTAATCGAATGGGCAGTTCTACGGTTCCCGTACCAATCCCTACACTGACAATCGTGGCAAGACCTGGACTTTGCAGCTTGATGTAACAAAAAGGTCTCCATTTTGACCTAAAATTGCATCCCATCCATATAAAGAAAAAGTGTTCTGCAAAGGGCGGATCGCCTCCCTTCCTACGCCACTGCATTGAAAACACGCTTCCAGCAACTGCAATTTTACGATGAAATTTGTATCTTACTTTATGATATTCAGAAACTTTGTACCATGGCTCTGGGCAATTTTTGAGAAAACAACGTGTTGACAAGTCGTTGAGGAGTGGTGATTCATTGGATATAGATGGTTCGGACTTACAAGAACTTCCCAAGTTCCTGAGAGATATGATTCCAGGAGAAGTACGGTAGTACCGAGTGCATTACAATGTCTTCAGTGTCTTGTGACAGCATTACAGTGTCTTCAGTGTCTTGTGACAGCATTACAGTGTCCTCAGCGTCTTGTGGCAGCATTACAGTGTCTTCAGTATCTTGTGACAGCATTATATTGTCTTCAGTGTCTTATGGCAGCATTCCAATGTCTTCAGTGTCTTGTGACAGCATTACAATGTCTTCAGTGTCTTGTGACAGCATTACTGTGTCTTCAGTGTCTTGTGTCGCTGGTCGATTCGCCTCCAAACGATGCGACGGTGTGCATTAATGTTAACATTGCCTGTAACCGTGGTAAATGAAGAAAAACGATTTTCGAAATTCAAGCTGAGAACAAACTTTCTTGTGATCATCAAGGTCTCAGGTTCGATGTAATGACTTGCCGCACTGTAACTGAATGAGACCTTGTAAACACCCTGACTATCACGTTTATAAAGACTTCATTGGATGAGACCTCGTTACCACAACGGACTATAAAGTTTATAGAGACCTCATAGAAGTTTTTGCCACCAAGAAAGCCAGATCGATAGCTTTTTCGCTAATAGCTACTGTGCGTATTTTAACTTGTCTGTCATGTTTTCGCTCATGTTTTTTGGCCTCTGAATTCCATTAATGAGATTTTTATGATCTAAGTGAAGAATCTTTTCATCCCAAGACAAGTTTAGTTTTCACAAGTCAAATCGCTTTGTTTATCAGTCGCATTCTCGAATTTTATTTAACGATTATAGGAAGACAACTTTCTGGGTTTTTTCTGTTTAATTAGCTGCCCGATTACCGTCAGGAAATTCATCTTACACTTACGCAACGCAATTTCTGTGAGAGAGTAGGTCGTAATGTACTGATGGAGCGCTTTACGCTTTGTGTTTTTAGGAATTGACTTTTGATAATCATGGGTGCAATTAGGCTCAGGGCTATTCAACTGTTACTGTAAAAAAAAAAAAATAAAAAACATTGACATTTCTGAAACTAACCGACTGAACGAATACACGGGTCGGCGCGTCACATTAGGGGGACCAGTAGGACTGTGAAGTGTCAAATTAGGACCCAGTTGGACTGTGATGCGTCATAACACCCTATCAGCTGGGGTACTGAAGTCAACGGCCTCACAAAATTCGATCTGCCCAAGGCCCCGCAACCTCCTAGCGCCAGCCCTGAAAACGGTATGCCATATCTCGTATTGCCACTGTCGGTATCAGCACGGAGTACAAACCAGGCGCACTGCTCACTTTTCGATCAGATTTTTTACTTAAAATTACCGGGCAACGTAAAAAGACACAGTGGGTTTAGCCGTCATAGAGTCTCAAGGGGTCAAGTCTAGTCGTGTTCATGCAGACACAGATACATAACGTCTTATTCGTCGTCTTCCAATGTCTTGGTGTGTGTGATTGGATCAGAGACTGAATGGTTTCACAATGGGGAAAAAAACAACGAGCTTCTCCTGTCAATCACTTCTCCTGTCAATCATTCTGACTCTGCACACGGATGCCGTACCGCACGCGCATGTACGTGGCGGTTGCCAGGTAGGCCAGGACCAAGAAGATCAGATGGAAACAGATGTGGTCACCGAAGGCGGCGCCTATGAAGGCGGTGTTGTCGTGGTCGGACATGTCCCAGTTGGAGGGACCCTCACCTGGGGCGGTCAAGGAAATGAAGGTTAGAAAGGCATTTTTTTATGTTTGGAAATAAAACAAAATTATATTAAAGGATGACTTTGACCAAATTTCCTGTTTAGATATAAAGGTGTGAATGCCCCAAAGAGTATTTTAGGACTTAAAGGGGGGGGGGGCACTACAAATTCTAAGATTGATTCTGGAACGATTTACCCCACGCAACAGCTCCCCAGTTTTCGTCTGACCTGGAAATGGTGAGGCGCGGTGCAAGATGAAGGCGGCGTTCCAGTCCCAGGTCGCCACCACGCCCAGACACACGACTCGGATCATCTGCGTCCAGTAGCCCCGCCTGTTTCCAGCCTCCGTCAGCAGGGAGACGCCTATGGCGAACAGCGGATAGAGAGGGAACGTCTTGACCATGGCGGCCACGGACATGTGATGCATGAAGTCATGGGCTCTGGAATCACAGGCAGCATGCACGTATCAACAATGAGCACATGACTAAATATTGGACGTAAATGTGTGTTGAACATTTCAAACAGTCAATGAATAGTTCAATGTGTGTAGTTTGTTTATGAAAGATAACATTATAGCTAAACGTATTTTTTGTCTTGTACCAAGCATAAACGTTTCTTAGGTTAGTTATGAACAGTGTACATGAATGACTAGGTTAGAGACAGAACAGTGTACATGAATGACTAGGTTAGTGACAGAAAAGTGTACATGAATGACTAGGTTAGTGACAGAACAGTGTGCATGAATGACTAGGTTAATGACAGAACAGTGTACATGAATGACTAGGTTAGTGACAGAACAGTGTACATGAATGACTAGGTTAGTGACAGAACAGTGTACATGAATGACTAGGTTAGTGACAGAACAGTGTACATGAATGACTAGGCTAGAGACAGAACAGTGTACATGAATGACTAGGTTAGAGACAGAACAGTGTACATGAATGACTAGGTTAGTGACAGAACAGCGTGCATGAATGACTAGGTTAGAGACAGAACAGTGTACATGAATGACTAGGTTAGTGGCAGAACAGTGTGCATGAATGACTAGCTTAGTGACAGAACAGTGTACATAAATGACTAGGTTAGTGACAGAACAGTGTACATGAATGACTAGGTTAGTGACATAATAGTGTACATGAATGACTAGGTTAGTGAAATAATAGTGTACATGAATGAAATAATCTTGAAAAGAGATTTAAGCTCAAAATTGCGTCAATCACTGCAGCTGCTCGATTTTATTTTCTACACGTACACACGTGATCCATTTCATTGGCTACACGTACACACATGATCCATTTCATTGGCTACACGTACACACGTGATCCATTTCATTGGCTACACGTACACACGTGATCCATTTCATTGGCTACACGTACACACGTGATCCATTTCATTGGCTACACGTACACACGTGATCCATTTCATTGGCTACACGTACACACGTGATCCATTTCATTGGCTACACGTACACACGTGATCCATTTCATTGGCTACACGTACACACGTGATCCATTTCATTGGCTACACGTACACACGGGATCCATTTCATTGGCTACACAGATACATATGATCCATTGCATTGGCTATACGGATACATGTGATCAATTTCATTGGCTAAACGGAAACATGTGATCCTTTCAATTGTCCCAACGGACACAAGTGATCATTTTCATTGGACAAAATAACCCATGTAAAGTATTTCATTTAAACTCATGAACGTATCATTCCTACCTACGTAATTTTGCATTACTGTTAGCCACAATTATTGGGAAAATTAAATATTGGGGGAAAAAATTGTTTAAAACGCTTACCTAAAAGGTTTATGAACAAATTGTTCAGCTATTGACACAATCATGACCCAAACGTGATAAAAACAAGACACTACATAAAACAATGACACGAACATGGCACAAATATGACACCATCCTAAACACAATAACTTAATCATAATAAAAACATTAATGTGAATTTTAAACTATAAATTAAGAATTAAATTCCCCCAATTAATTATGTAATGCCTACCCCTACCACCCCCCACCACCAGTGGACGTACCGGTAGAATGTAGCCAGGGCGTACCAAAAAAATCCCAGCGCCCCTGTGACGTAGTCGCTGTTCCTGATCAACGGGACCCCGAACCAGAGCAAGAGCTCAAGGACGCTGTGCACAAAAAATATCCCATATATGGACATCGTGATGACCGTCGCCATCTTCCGGTAGTTCCCGGCGGCGTCGACCAATGAGGTTCCATCGTAGAAGATCGTTGCCAGGAAACCGGCTCCGGAAACGGCCAGTTTGAAGAGATTCTCCACCGGGATTTTGGTTCCCGGGTAAGGGTAGCTGAGCCGCGGGATAAACTTCTTACCTTCACTTTGACACTAGAAGAAAACAACAAGGCCCTGGTTTTATATGATATCTTTGATTTGTCCATTCATCTAATTAAAGTTATATCATAATATAAATGGGATTATTTTTTTGATGTAAAAAAAAAACATATTTATCTCAATACATGTTAGTAATGTCTTACAAATCCACATATTTTTTTATTTTATTTAAACTTAATTATAAACGCAAATCAGAAGTTTAACTTTCTATGAAACACTTTTATGAAAATAACAACATGGATTATAATAATATGATGACAAGAGTCTGGTGAGATAATAATAATAATAGTAATATTAATAATAAAGATAATGCAATTTAATGAGATATTTAAAGAGATTAGAATCCTCCAGAGTGGTGGAGATTAACATGATTAGAGTTTTTGAGGCAACGAATTGACCAATCCAAATGTACCCTTATGGCGCCCACAAACGTGTTGACCATCCACCACAGCCAGATGATGGTGAACACGACGCCCTCCAGCAGGTAGCCCCAGAAGGTGGACATCTTCGTCACGTTAACTGTCAATGGGACGTCAATCAACACATCACTTCATTTTGGAAAAAACCAAAACAAATATGTAGTTTTTTTCATATGTTCAGACCCTAACTATAATTTTTTGTTGTTGTTTTGTTGAACAGCTGTGTTTCTAAAAACATCGGTGTTTTAAAACATGATTTTACGATAAAAACAATAAAACACATATAAGTATTTGTTTTTTCCAAAGCCGTTGGCATGTCTTAAGTGAACACTGATTGTAAAGACTTTTATTCATTTTCAAAAAAAATATAAGCCTTTTCATCGTTATTCCAACTAAAAGATTCTCCTGATTAAATTAATGTGACAAAGTCATATCAACAGATTGAAAAGCATTAACCCGATAAAGAATCTATGGAGCTTATGGCACGAGTTTTTAACAGGGGGCTGGATCATTAATTCAGTCGAAAACTAATAGAGGAGTAAAGACACAAGGTACAAAATGAAATATGTTATTTGTCGTCAAATCCAGTTTTTGTATTAATTGCAATTTAACATATCCTGTTTGACATGACGTCATATTTCTGAGTGGTAAGCACATGTGCTATATGTGCTCATTTTTTTTTTAGGATTCCCCCCCCCTCCCTTTAAATGCTGTACATTTTAGTTGTTTTTTTTTAAGCACCGCTAACTTTTGGGATACTACAATACCACTTGCACTTTTGTGTGTGACCAGTGTGGCGGTATTAATAACATTTCAGTTCACCCGATGCAAGCGTTTTCATGAATGGAAGCCATACACAGTTGCTAAATATAGAATACGAGCAGTGGAAGGTAGCGGTTGGGGGGGGGGGTGAGGGAGGACATGTTGAGACCGGTAGAAATTTATTTTACTATTTGAAAATAAATTGATTGAAACTGAGAAGTCCAACAAGCACCTGGCCAGGGTAATTTTTATTTTTTGTATTTTTTTTATGTTTGATCTATTTATTCGGCTAAATATTCATATATAACACATTATTAAAGAACGCGTTTATAACATTGAACCTAACCAGTTGATATACTCAACAATTTACTACAAAGCAAATAACTAATTTAATTTAATACTACCGGTAGTGTTAGCCAAACATAGTGATTGTGTAGAGTTCAAAATGTACTTTCTCCTGTTAAAATTGTTCGAATAAATTTGGGGGGAAATGAAAGCGTTACGTCTTCAGCAACACTCCTTGACGGGTATCAGAAACGCATGTCCCGAGACCAGTATTCACAAAACGCATGTCACGAAACAGGTGTCACAAAACACGTGCCACGATAGCACATGACATTAAAATACGTATCACCTAAACAAATACCACCTAAACACTCGCCACATTAGCACATGTCGCCTAAACATGCATCCCTTGAAACCTATTTGACAAAACTATTTATTTTTTAAATTGCGTGCTTTCATTGTAATTACAGTGACAGCAGGAGACATCATTTTGGCAGGGTGGGTTGTGGATAGCGGTTCGCACATGGAGGCGGAAAGCTATGGATCGATCCGAATGGAAGGATGTGGTGGAGCAGGCCAGGGCCCTACATGGGCTGTAGCGCCACTGAGGATGCTTGGGTTGTGAATAGGAAATATCAAATCGCCAAACAAATAGACCTTACCAGGGGTAAGTTAGAGTTTAATCCCGGACAGACGTATAGACTCCCACCCCCACCCCATACAAACACACACACACACATCAAAAGCAAAGAGTGATAGAATGTTCGTTATTCTAGGCATAACATGGATCCCGGTCTCCGTTTGACTTGACTGTGGTGGCTTGTCGATTAGGAGGCGTCGGCCACCGACCCCCTCGACGTTACCCGGGAAACACAATCACTGGGCGCGTCCTGCGTGGGCAGACAAGGGATGTGCTCGGTACATGCCGTACATAAAACAGCTCCTACAGGGCTGCCAGTCGTGATATTTCCCAACTGGAACAATAGGCAGTGACAGGGTAGGGATCATGATTACAAGTTGCCGTTAATGGATATGAGGCGAGAGGCGAAGGTGGTAACCTCTGGCCGATGATTCTTACTACGCAGCCATGAGAAGCTGCTCCAAGGCAACCGTTTCGTCCCAGCTACATCGCGAACTAGTTGGGTTGTGGAAACCCACTGTGGAATCCCTCTTATAGGGCGTCTAACTCTTCCCTGGGATGGGTGGGGGAAGATATTAGGACGTACATTTTTCCATCCCGACTCCTGAGAAATGTCGATCGTGTGCACTGTGTGCAAACACAGTGTCGGACCGACCGGGTGTCTTTGGGTTAGGACGGCCCCATGCGGAGACCTGGTCGAGCAGACTCGGGTGGGGGCCGGCCTGACAAAGGGACATCCCCGACGTGCCGCTCCGTGGCCGATACCGGGTTAGGGAGGGGTGTTTTGGGGAGGGCATAAAGAGCTGCAGCTCGACGGCCCGCTGACGCCATTTCTTAATGTAATATTTCTAGGCATAACATGGAAAGTTCGGTCGTTCTTCTAGGCATAACATGGAAAGTTCGGTCGTTCTTCTAGGCATAACATGGAAAGTTCGGGACTAGGGATATTGAGCGTGCACGCACCATAAGACCTAACACGCTGGCAGCGAGTGTGAGTGGTGGGGGGGGGGAGAGTTCGCCTCGTGTTTAACAACAAACCAGTGACCCGGATCTATAACGGTTTTAGAAAACCACCCAAGTGAAACGGGTTCCCCTTTTTTTACCTGTGACAACGGGTCTCAAACCGGTGTAGGCGTAGGGCTTGTTGTTGTGCAAAGTAAGAGCGTTGTGATGTGAGGCCCGGTCATCAAAGGAACCAGCTCAGAAAGTCTTTATTAAGAAATCATCGGTCCTATTGTGGTCACAAATGATGATATTATCGGACCTGCCTACGCTATCCATTGACATTGACATTGAACGGTACACATTTTTCTTAAAAAGGATGCTGACGACACTAATACTAGTTTGTTGTCCGTGATTGAACCCTTACGTCAGTAGGTTGCTTCTAACAGGCTCATCTCGGTTTTTTTTTGGTTTTTTTTGTGTTTGTTTGTCTCTCTGAGTCTAATCCCAGCGGTTCTTAAGTGCACCCTTCACTAGATCCCAGCGGTTCTTAAGTGCACCTTTCACTAGATCCCAGCGGTTCTTAAGTGCACCCTTCACTAGATCCCAGCGGTTCTTAAGTGAACCCTTCACTAGATCCCAGCGGTTCTTAAGTGCACCCTTCACTAGATCCCAGCGGTTCTTAAGTGCACCCTTCACTAGATCCCAGCGGTTCTTAAGTGCACCCTTCACTAGACCCGCCTATGCATTAATTTCTTTACACAGTTACGGCAGCTTGTAAAGTGTCAAAAGAACACTTCGATATTGCGTCAACTGTAGGATAAACACTATTTTCAGCGAGTTCCCTGTCAAAATCTTAAGCAAAAGGCAAAAACAAAACAAAACAAAACAAACACACAAACAAACAAACAAACAAACAAACAAAAAAAACAAAAAAAAAATTGTATGAGATTGTCTTGCAATGTTTCTGAAAATGAGCTAAACGCTATTGGTGAACCACTTACCAAAGCAGCAAGCCAGAGAAAAGGACAACGCGTTATTGGAGAAACACTTATTAAAACAGGACGTTTTGAAAAAATGAGGATAATGGTTGGCCGTAATGGTTGGCCGTAATGGTTGGCCGTAATGGTTGGCCGTAATGGTTGGCCGTAATGGTTGGCCGTAATGGTTGGCCGTAATGGTTGGCCGTAATGGTTGGCCGTAATGGTTGGCCGAAATGCGGCTAAGGAACTAGATGCCAAGATATATGACCATTTGTCAAGATATATGACCATTTGTCAAGATATATGAAGACATGTCACGATATATGACCATATGTCAAGTTACATGAAGTCCTATCAAGATAAATGACGACATGTCAAGATATATGACGACATGTCAAGATATATGTCGACATATCAAGATATATGGCGATATGTCAAGATATATGACGCCATGTCAAGTAATAATTTGGATAAAAATTATTTTAAAATTTTAAGGGCCAGAAATGTTTACTCCAAATGGGTCAGAAAATGGATAAGACAGTGGATGAGACAGTGGATGAGACAGTGCGTATTAAAAAGAGAGCACAATCATAAGTAGCGTAAGTTTTGTCAAAAAGTCTTAGGCAAGAGATCAGTATAAGAAGTAGTTTTAATTATTCACCCTTAGATAAGTGTATAGCATTGGCTTATTGTTATTGTTTAAATAATGGAAACATGCATGTGTTCACGAACAACCCGTTATATGTCCATGAATTAAACTCTATGCGTTTATGTATTTTTGCCAGCTTTTTAATCGCAGGTAACTGTAAGTGAATGCATGTGAATGGAGGTGAATGCAAGTAAGATGAAGAAACCTTCATCGACTCGAGTGGATGATACCACTCACCTTGAACCCTGACCCCAACCTGCAAATTATGAAAAACGCAAATAATAATTAAGTACAACCATTGAACTAATTTCAATTTTTTTTTTTTTTTTTTTTTTTTTTTTTTTTTTTTTGGTTTCAAATGTTATATCACGCTTTAAAATTATAATATGAAGGAAAAATCTAGAAATTATTAGATAAGCCCAAAATAAACTGGCACAGAAATAAATGAATAGTCACAACATCAAACACAATTAAATTCACCAAAATCTTACCTCCAAGTCGATGCTTGGCTTGGCGACGTCAAGAAATCTGATCAAACAAGTGACACTGTCAGGACACACGCGTCTACCTCGCCTGTCCCATAACGGAGTTGGACCGAACCCACTAGAAATAAAAACACACACACACACGGCGAGCGTCATCTAACCCCCCCCCCAACCCTCCGATCTTGCCCGCCCTCGCTGTTAACGGGAGTAAACATTACTGGTACGAGAACCTTGACAAGATGGCGGAGCTACGGTCTACCTTTAACAATTCGTTCTGACTTCCATCTGAGCCTATGTCAAGAGACGTGTATCAAAGAGAACGCTGCCTTGAGTCTCGCTTCGCAAGTAGCATACCCCCCGAGGGACGTCTGAGATTGTGTTCATGTTCATACAGCTTTGACTTGTTTCATGGGGCTTATTTCTTAGAGAGCGGAAACAACAATTGCCGGGGGAACAAAAAAAGCGCGATATTCTGTTTGACCAAGGGACCAAGGACCAGTGTCGTCTTTGATTTACCTAGAGTTCGACGACTGTAGACAACGGTGAGATCGTCTGTATATTGCAGGTAAGATCTTACATGGTATTTGTTAATCTAAATTATAATTCTCATTCATAATATCGTGTGGTTTGGGGGGGGGGGGTGGGGGTGCGTGGAGTAGCTCGTGTTTGTGTCGACTGGGGTGCTCCAAGTTTAATCCGCTCCTTATTAGATTCCACATTTAAAAAAATCTGAACAAGTATCGTCTGTATATTGCAGGTAAGATCTTACATGGTATTTGTTAATCTAAATTATAATTCTCATTCATAATATCGTGTGGTTTGGGGGGGGGGGAGGGGGTGCGTGGAGTAGCTCGTGTTTGTGTCGACTGGGGTGCTCCAAGATTAATCCGCTCCTTATTAGATTCCACATTTAAAAAAATCTGATCAAGTATATGAACTGGGCCGATGCCGCCACAGAAGAAAGTGCAAACCGGGGCGGAACACCCTTACCACCCCCCCCCCTTTATTTCTACGCCTGTGTGTAGGACTGTGGCGCTTAAAATAGCTTAACCCTACAGATGGATACTAAACTTATCAAACTAACCTGTCTTAGACGGTACAACTTCTGGTGGACGCAACTTGTGTACTCGTTTTCGTACTATTATTATTTTCGCTCCGCAGTGTGATGACTGTTTGGGTCAATTATGGACATGAAAACTTTCCTTGACAGAGATTGATCCATATCTTGGAATTGTTTATTATCCCGGCGCTACCAGCTTCTGGTCCGGAGAAGTGATGGACACTGGGTGGCCCAGTGTTCTAAACTGACTCACTCCAAATAGCTGGTGGTCTGGAGTTCAACCCCCACCAAAGCCAACATCCCAAGCACCCCGGGTGGATGAGACACGTTAGCCTTGGGCGGCAACTCATCTAAGACCAGCACCCCGGGTGGATGGGACTCGTTAGCCTTGGAAGGCAACTCAACTAGAAGATGGGAAGATAGCTTTAAAGAGTGTACGGGACTAAAACTAGGCGATGCTGTGCGAAGTAGAGAAAACAGAGAGGAATGGAGAAGGGTCGTTTTCATGTCATCTATGGCACCCCAACGGTCTAACATGGGACATGGTGATAAGGATAATATGATAACCACTGCCGTATCTGTTAGATAATAATCAGATTGTAAAATCGGGAAGACTTTGAGTTCTCTCATCATCTGTGACTACCTAACTTTCATCTTAATCATAGACTAAACGGACCAATTCAACAAGAATTATCAGCCTAAAGACGGCAAAGACGAGTTGCCTCCACGTACAAGCAGCTAAACCTAAATCTTTTAAAGTCTTCATGGGAGAGAAGAGTCGTCTCGGATTCTTCATGGCTTAGAAGAGTCAACCTTGAGTCTTCATGGGTGAGAAGAGTCTATTTGGAGTATTCATGGGTGATAAGAGTCGTCTTGGAGTCTTCATGGGTGAGAAGAGTCTTCTTGGAGTCTTCATGGGCGATAAGAGTCAACCTGGAGTCTTCATGGGAGATAAGAGTCTACCCAGCCTGACATTTTTTCCCATGCCTACGCTACATGCTAGTTTGTCTTTCTTGCGTCTTCAAAACCACTTTAGTTCTTTTCAGTGTGTAACAGTAATTTCACTGTAATTTCACAGTAATTGTGCAGTAAGTGTCTTGTCTCTGTCCTGGTGACCTCTAGTATCGAACCCCTCCCCCTTTCCCTACCCCTCCCGTTCACTCTTCTCTCCAAGGAGAACAAAAAGGTTAACTCGACAATTGACCTCGGAATTGACAAAAAGGCAGACCATGTTTGGCTTTCGACATTTACCTGGCCACGTCAAGTCAAAGGGAGAGCAGTGGTGATGTACAATAATTGTTTTCACAAACGCTGTCGTGTTGCTTACCAGCCTTGGCCAATCAAGAAACGTTACAGTCGCCTCTCGTTTGTTGTAAGAGTTTCAACTTAATCTCACACATGACATAGGTGTGCACGATTTATTGACATAATTTTTTTTCGATCGTGCCTCAGTGACATAGAGCCGTTGCGTTTGTATGTTTGTGTGTTTGTGTGTATGTGTTGGGTGTGCGTGCGGACGGGTATGTGTATTCGTGCGTGCTTGTGTGTAAATGAGGGTATGTATTGGTGTGTGTGGCGTCATGGTCAGTTCAGTAGCGTGCAAAATAAAATTCCCGATAACTGCTCTAAATGTAATTCTTAAGAGTGCTGCAAATGCGTTTGGTGCGTAATAGATTCCTCTGTTATACGGGAATAGTCTCAATTTAAATATGGCGTAGTAAATCTAAGGCGTAAAAGGAGGTGGAACATTAATAATGTTAATATATTTCAGGGGCGTGGAGAGAAAAAAGGGTGCGGTGGCGTACCTAAGGGGCTAGATTCTAAGTGGGATTCTTATAAACAAAGTGCTTCTCATGAATGCATGTTTTGTCAAGTAACTGGAGGCAATCGGAAGTTCATGCACGGCCGCCACCATGGGTAAGGGGGGGGGGGGTGTATTTCTAGAGTTATAAGAAGCAGGCTACAATAATAAGTTAAAAAATAAAGCTATTACAACAAACACAAAACTAATGTAAGTATTGTTTAAGAAATACAGTAAATACAGGGGCTGATATTTAAACTGAACTCAATTTCAGGTTGACATTCTGCTGCACTTGGTCACCCGACTCCAAATAAGCGTCTCCGGCATCGAAAATTGTTATCCACGATATAGTTTTATATTAATTCGATTGTTTAAATAAATTATTTGAAGTATCCTAATAAGCAGTATGTGTTTAGAAATCAACAAATACCCATATTAAAACTCTTCAGTGGAGGCGTGGGTACACGCTGTGGACTGGGAAGGGGTGCGGAAGGGTGGGGGTGTCCGCCCTGGGTGGTACTTTTTTCTATATAAAGAGGAGCGGCATTGCCAGAACACTTCAGAGGTTTTTCATGGAAGATGGGCGGCGAAACTCAAGACCCGCCCCTGGTGGCAATAACCCCAGCTACGCCACTGGTCACACTAACCCTAGCTACGCCACTGGTCACACTAACCCTAGCTACGCCACTGGCGACACTAACCCTAGGTAAGCCACTGATGGGACTAACCCTAGCTACGCCACTGGTGGGACTAACCCTAGCTACGCCACTGGTCGCACTAACCCTAGCTACGCCACTAATGGGACTAACCCTAGCTACGCTACTGGCGACACTAACCCTAGCTACGCCAATGGCTGCACCCACCCTAGCTACGTCTCTGGTTATACAATAACAAACATTTTGAGGACTTGTTTTGGAAGACACCGCCTTGACCTGCTTGATGTCTGCCAGCATAATTTATGGGTCACGGTCTACGCACTGTCGGAATGTTAGCCCTGAAAATCTTCTTACGCCTCTAAGTTTACCCAAAGGCGCTTAAGTGGCGCTGGCAAAAGAGTGTTTGGAGTGCAGTGGTGGTGGTCAGGGAGGGGGAGAGGAGAATATCCTAAATGCCTATTTCCAGATGCAGATTCTGAACATTACATAATTTGATCTCATAAACTGATGGGTTTTTTTTAATTAGTGGTCATTTAGAAGGTATTTTTATTTGAATTAATTGGGGCTTGATAAAATTTCTAATTCAAAGTCATCAAAGGTGTAGAGAAATAATGTGTTATAACTTGCTTGTGCTGAAATTAGCCACCGACAACTAAAGACTTCGTTTGTAATATATATATATATATATATATATATATATATTGTGGCACTAACTCTAACCATATATATATATATATATATATCTATCTATCTCTCTATCTATCTATCTATCTATATATCCCCAGCCTAGGGCTGGGCTCACCGCGCTGTACATAAAAATTTTATCAAAAGAGACATAATAATGACATTAAAATAAAATACATTTCTGAAATAAAGAACACCAAAAAAAAAATGTATATTGACCCACCCCACCCCATAACTTTTACAAGACAAACCATTGACGCCAGCCAGCAAGATCGTTTATCGGTCAGAGGAGGGGAATCACTCAGGGTAGTATAATTTATATATATATATATAACAAAATTTTAGTTGTTCATTGGCTTGTTAAAGTCCCCAAGCACTCATGAGACTGAGAACAATAAATCGGTAAAGACTAGTGTTGACAAATTGATGCTTCCAGTGGTACTCCGTACAACTCAGTACAACTCTTCGACGTAAAAACTTCAGCCTCCTCTTTCAGTACATATTGTTTGTCAACTTGTTGCTATCAGACCTTAGAACCGAAAGTAAGCAAACAGGTGATTGAAGTTCGGTGGGGTTTTTTTGTGTGGTTTTTTGGGGGGTTGTGTGTTGTATGACGTATACAACATGTGTTGAATGACGTATACAACATGTGCTGACTCTTGGGCAGCCGCCCACCCTGCCCCGGAGAGTGGTCTTTCAGTAACAAATTCAAATAAGGAAAACAGGGCAATGGAAAATTTGAAGAAAAAAACACCAAAAAAAAAGTTCTTCCCAAGGGTTTCTCATATAATGTATCTTTGTTTCCTATTGAATACAATGATAACAGCCTTCCCCATAATTATTCCATCAACAATGACCACCCAATAGCTCACAATGAAACAAGGGCAGATGAC